ACAAATGTTGAACATTGTGAGGTAGTTGTTTCAATGCTGCGGGGTATGAACTCGAATTTGATGGACACGCAAATTGGTTTACTATTAATGAATTGGCCTTCAACGCAACCATTGGTTTATTAATATCTGATGGTAAACTTTTGCGGGCACAATAAACAAGGATGTTATATCTTTTAGTAGAAGTTTACCGATATCAAGGTGTTACAAGTTTAAACAAAGCACACTATCCGTGCTGGCGGTGCAAGCAAGGAGCAAAGTTTAGCAAACGTGCTCACAGGCGCTGCCGTACTTAACGTGAGTAAACAGGTTCGGTTCGCTAGTCACACAATGTTACACTGAGTTTGCATGAACCATCACAATGTGATCGGAACTAGCTGATCAAATGACAGCGTCATCGAGGGAGCTTTACGACGTGACGTGTAGTGTCGGAGCCTGTTTGTGTCGCGCTCGTAAAGTACTCGCCTAACCCCGCATCCAACCATTCAAGCTATAATTTTAGTTATCCGTTATAACTGTAGCGATTTGATTTGTAATAATGAGATAAATCTTTCAAATACACATTAATTATCAAAATTATACTGGGCGATTGACATTTATCTATGTACTTAAAGCGTTTTAACTGTTTCTCTTTAAAAATAATGTCAACAGGTATAGTTTTTTATTGTAATTATCGCTGTAATTAATCACTTATCTTTTATTTTCAGATTGATATCATAGAAGGGCTACTAGTGTATATCTGGAGAGATCCAGTACAGGATCTTGTACGTCATGGTGTCAGGTGATATACAGCCAGTGCCTTATCGATACGCGGCGATTGACGGACGCCTCTTGAAACCATTGAAAGATGTGATTTGTATTATCTAATACCCGATCACGACGATAGACAGTGTAATATTATTCAGTTTGAGATAAACCCAATATAATGATATTTGGTCGTAGATATTCAAATAAACAACAGACTGCAAAGCAGGTGTCGATAAAAGCTACATTAAACAGATGTGCTTTTTCAATCATGACTTTTCTTCGCTGTTTCAAATTCAGTCCATTATTTCAAAGCAAAGAAAACTACTGCCATCTGGGAAAAGATAGAAGGTTAAGAAAATGTATGAAGCTGGAAGGAAAACATAAAATACGTAGTGGTGCGCTGAGATCTCGGTCAGCGAGCGGCGGCGCGAGCCAGTCACGTTCGCCGTTCCATTCCCCAGGGCTGTCACCCGTGAAAATGTATTTTTATTTCCAGATCATGTCAGCTTAGCTTAAAATTTATAATGAAACGTGAAACCTGTAATATGTAGAAAATGTTCAGTTGAAACTTTTGTTTTCCAGTCATACTTTTTTATGTGATAAGATGGCAAACGAACACACCGATTACCTGATGGTAAGCAATCAGCGCCGCCCATGGATTGGCAACAACTGAGGAATGACGACTGCATTGTCGACATTTTTAGGATTTAGGCATTGGGGAGCGATTGGGGTAGGAGTAAGATTGGGCCTCCAGTAACCACACTCGCACGGCGAAACACAACGCTGTGGTTGTTTCACGCCGGTTTTCTGTGAGGCCGTGGTATTACACCGGTCGAGCCGACTCATGGCAATAATTTACTGTCAAACCGTACTTTTTTCGCTTATTTAAATTATAATTACTTAACTTTTTCTCATAGTAAAGCAATACTGCTATGTTTTGCAGATTTACAAAGAATTTAAAAATGTTAGTTACTTGAGTAGATGTAATCGATATGAATAGCATATGTCTGAGCTTGCAATCAGACACATATAAATTTGAAAACAGTTATTTTGGCAAAAATATCCTGGTATCCTGTGCCAGCACCCCTGTTCACCTGTTGCACATACTTCCGCGCAACATGCAGCACACCTGGAGCGTGATATATTTTATAACCTGTATGTATCTATGTATGTATGTATGTATGTATGTTCGTATACAAAGCAAGATTCCGTAGCAATGTACTGCCAGAGAGTGACTGACTTCATTATAACTGCCATTCTATTTTACTGTGAAATTGTAAATTTTAGAAAATGGTTTATATTACGATAACCACCAGAACTTCAATTGATTTAAATTCAGAAGCATTAAGCTTATACTTTATATTATCACTTAAAAGCTTTATTAAACACTGGATGCCATGGATGGCAACTGGTTGATGACGAGACGACGAACTATTTATTCACCCAAATTTAGTTCTGTTTTAGACAGAATACCCGATGGTAAGCAACCACCGTCCGCACATAGACACCCGCAACAACAAAAGAGTTACGAGTGCATTTCCGACCTTTTGGGGATATTTTCGTTTAAGTTATTGAAGACTCCATCACGCCTCCAAAAGACTAAAGAGACATTGTAACCAGGTGTCCAGGCACGAGATGGTGTTCCGATTGCGGCATCGTCTCTGTCACACCGTCTGCTGATCATCACTTGTAAAATTTTTGCACTAGTGACGTTGCATTAGTGACGTCATCGATCAAGTCTCCAGCCAGTACGACTGTTCACAGCCATCCTGTAGAGGTCAAATTATCTGATCTTTTTGTCTGTTGATTGATAACCTTGCGGTATCCTGATGGCTTATTGTGGTGCTTCATTCAATTTGTAGTCGGGACGTAGGTAGCAATTTTGTAGGAGTCTATATAAATTAATAGGAAAACGTAGACTTTGTTTAAAACTATTTATAATAAATTAACATTTTTCGAATGAAACCCTTCATTCGATTGATAATTTTATCCTGCTAATCTAAACTAGCTAGCTAAGCAGACAGTCATAGAATTATTTTCTATTACAGAATTTGTAAACCAAAATAATGTACCCGATTCAGAGGTAATTACATCTCGCATAAAACAGGACAGTGAACTCATCTTCTCTAAAGCCCTAATGTTATTCGAGTCTAAAATAAGGAAACCTTTTCAAAGTTAGGGTTTGTTGTTAATGAAATACAGGCCTACGTCTGCAATTGTTGCGAGCATAAATTACTTTATCATTACATACAATAAGAGCGTATCCATGTTCAGCCGCGGCCATATATTCCGACCACGAACAGATTGTACCGCGCACGCCGGCACCACCCAACTGATTTATAGAACCCTACCACTGTGCCACTGTACTCTAGGGCACAATCCACACTTTATATTAATTGCTATGTTTTGTTCTCAACTCCTGAAGTTGTTACGTAAGATTGATTATTACCTTTTATTTCCTACATTTTATTTCATCGTCAGGCTATAAATGCCCCCTTCTGACGAAAGGCCTCTTCTCACACGCAGAAGGTATGAGCGTCAATCACCACGCTTGCTCAAAACGGATTGGCGATTTCAATCTTACATGTATAATTACAAATTCTAAGTCATGGTTTCCTCACGACGGTCCTTCCTTCCGTATGTCAGTGGTGTCTAAATAATTATAACAATTACATATAACTTCGATTAGTTTCAAATCATCATGCATGAGAAGCAGGAGCCATAGGTTTGTGACCTTTAATCAGCTGTGGGCACTTGAAGGGCCGATGATTCTTAGCTTGATGAGCTGAAAGACGCAAGTGTGACAGCTTGACTAAATATTTGACGTACCTACATATTCAAGATTTAACAACTGATAGAATTCAAAAATTAGAGGAAACCTAGGTAGTTTAGTACAGGGGTGATATGCTCTGTACTTCCAATTAAATTATGTAAGTATGATAATTATAATTTTAAGAATTTGTTTATCATCATACTATATGTGACATTACACCTCTCGTTGGATTGGAGTTGCGGCAACAGGACCGTCCCATTCACCATATTCAAGCTATAAATGCAAAGGTACAATGGCTGCCAATAATATGCGCTCCCCAGCGCATTGTGATTGCATCGAGCGGGCACATTCCACGCCGGAATATAGAGCTAGCTGGCTGGCTAGCGAGCCAATCCAGTCGCTAGCTCCGGAGATATTCAATTTACCACAGAATTGCACCCAATAATAACTTTGTTGATTTACAGGACACTTGCAAGCACGCGGCCCGGGAACTATGCACTAACTGGAGCCGAGATTGAAATTCAACATTGATGTAGCGCGTGTTCCGATGTTACACTTTTATGTAAGTATAAAGTATTTTGTTAAAGTCAGGGTAAAATTATTTTTATGTCAACTCTGTAAAAAAAGTTTTGAAACATTGCGCGTATTTTTCTAAAAGACTAAAAATACGTAAAGGTTACAAAGTGAAAAATTTGATGCTCCAATCTAAAGATACTAAGTTAAGTAAACAATCAGCTCGAACAGGATCTCCTGAGGCACTAGTGCACACTAGCTCCCACTAGACTAGGCTATACCACTTGTCTACGAAGGTTTATTTTTTAATTAAACTCTTGCTGCGCTTGAAGCATTTTACTCGTTCGTACATTTTTGTAATTTACTCGTTCCTTACTTTTAAGTGGACATTTGAAATTTTTGAAGTAGAATTCTTTTCTATTGGATACTTTTCTAATGCAATAAGTTTTTTGAAAGTAAATTACTCTGTATCTGTATATTGCCCCGTTGGGATATTCTCCTGTGGAGTGGGTGTGTTTACACAAACATAGAAATTCCATAAATAAATCAACAATTTTTGGATCGCTCAATCGTCGGGGTCACCCGTTTAGTGAACAGAGACCGACCAGGCGAGGTGATCGTGCCTAGCGGGCTACTGGCCGACGGTTGTTGTACTTGTTCTTATCTAACTTTTATACCGCGATGTAGGATCTTGAACGCGATGGGGGCTGCTGCTGCCGCCCCGCTACACGTTGCGCGGCAGCCAGTTACCCAGCCACAGCACCGACTGTGCAGTCTGATAATTGAAATTGAATATGCGCCTTACTACGGATATGTAGGTACATAACGATTCAAGAACAAGAACACATTTATTCGATAATTATTTTATTGAACTAAAATACACATAATCTAACTGTACAAATCAAATATTTATAAAAAAAAGAATTCGGAGATACTAAACAAAATTTCTGTACATACTATAAAAATTCACCTTCTTACTACTATTAGTACTTTAAGCGCTGTAACACGCGGCAAATCATACAAAAGACATCCTTATCTGAAGGAACAATAAATAATCCTTCGACATCTTATACCTGCAGCTAAAGATCTCATAAGTACACCGGAACGGCGACGCACGTACCACAGGTTCAATACTCACGAGCGACACTGCGAAAGGTTACTGAGAGGCTATGACTCACTCTGATCTCGAATTCATTACACGTAACGTATTAGGACAGTGTCGCTTGAAGTCACACCACGTAGCCTTTAGACCAGTGGTAATGGCCATGTGAATTTTGAAGCGATTGTCTGGTCGAGTCCTGGGATCCCCTGCGGAAACCTGAGAGATGAGTCATGAAGGTAACACGTGTGATACTTTTTATTTAATATTTCCTGTCCCAATCACAAATGCTGCATAGAGAAGACAGCATCACGAATATTAGTAAAACTGCAGATATAATACAATTAGTGAAGGACAAGTACTATCGGTCCTCAACATTGACCTTGTAAGAGTTAATCGATCAATCCCAAGATTAAGTCGGGCTCTTCAAATTGCTTTTCAGATTTTTCTTCTTGAGTTGTTGAACGAAGCTTTAGAATTAATTTAATCAGGTTTTACAAACTTTATGCAAAAACAATAAAATAAACTGGGTTGATAAACGTTGCATAATTATTTCTATCGAGTGTACGCTTGTAGCTCCAACACAACATGTTGGGCAGGATTGAACCTTAAGAATACGAAGGTACAGTGAGGACTTGAGAGGTTTTTCAATTATTCGAATAAAGATGGCCAGGGCACCCCGCGTCACGTGACGGCATTGTTATGCTTTCCTAAAACAATATCGAGTGATGTCGGCACACCATCAACTATGTATGAATGCCTTCACATAATCTCGTTCAGAAAGGACAAACACAATTTACTTCCCCCAGGAAATGCTTTGACATCTAACGATGAATGAAAGATGAAATCCATTTGAGACGGAAAGGTTAGTGCAACGTGTCTCAATCTCCAGGTTTTTATTCCAAAGACTTAATCTCTTTATAAGGACATTTAACATCTTCAAAGAGTAAACCTAAACATTTATTAAATAAAATAGATTATTATCAAACTTAATTCAGGTACAAAAATACAGAGAAATAAATATCATTCAACGGCTACTCCATTTCGCTTCTAATCTCGATTTTTCAGGTTCTTTCATTTCGGGAGCTTTCATTTCTGAAAATATTAAAAAACTAATTAATTCTGAAACTCAGCTAAACTCGACTGTATCGCGTTTGCATAAGGTTTAATGTTGCTCACCGATATCAGTCTCTTTAGGCTCATTCCAGGGCTGCCTCACAGATGTACCAAACAGTATAAAGAACAAGTTTGTGAAGAAGTACACTCCTGAGGCAACGAAGAATACTTTGCGCCACTCTGCCGGCTCCGTCTGTAATACAAAATATATTAATACAACTTTGTAGGCAACAGCTTCATATATTTTTATTAAACATATATTATGCCAAGCGGGAATATTAAATAAACTTAATTTAGGTTAGCACATTGCTTCGCGGCTATAATACCGATAATACGTGTATCGCTGAACACATATTGTGCTGTGGGATGTGTAACGTTACCTCATCGTGGACGATGAAGCCGCAGACCAGAGGCGCGATGATGGAGATGATGTTGGCCAGGAAGTTGGTGATGCCCATCAGACACGCGCTGAAGTTGGGAGCCAGGTCGATGTGCACCAACTGAGAAGTAGAAGGCAATTGTAATCATTGCAATAGGGTTGTTGGATACCTGTAGCGCCATCTACCAAACCTGCGTGTGCAACTCTCGGCTGGCATGTCCGATACCTGTAGCGCCATCTACCCAAACTGCGTGTGCAACTCTCGAGCGAGATCGGTCGCCAATATGCGCGCGCAATTCGTTCGCGAATGAATTCTTCGAAAAACATTATTGTCGGTTCGGTCGCGGACTCCATTGTAAATTATGTTCTAAGAGAGTAAAGAGCTTATTGTTAATTATGGAAGAATTTTTTTTCATTAAGCCCAAGTAGTTGCCCAAACATATGGTCCTTCGAAGCCAAATTATAAAGAACAACGAAGAGTTCTATACGTGGTGAAGCATTCGTCATTCGTCGCATTATTACGAAGAAGAAGTTCACCCGCCATTACAAGTTCTGGACCCCGAGTGGATTAGAGGAGTGGCAGGTCTGAGTTTCCTACCAATTACCCATCCCATCTTGGTCTGTGTTTAATATCCGTGTTGTATTCTTAGTTGTTGAGCGGCGGTGCCCTGCCGGTGATAACCCGACGCCGTGAGTTGTAATCTCGCGGGCTTGAGCGGGCGGCACGCGGTGCAAGTCCATATCACACAGGAAGGATTACAGTGAGTACTCTTGCGTTCTTATTTTCTCTTAAAATGAGTGAAGCTAAGATGTCGGAACTTATTAAGAAGAGAGCAGTAGTCAAAGGTCGGTTAACCGTATTTGAAAGTTATTTAAAAAGATGTAAATGCCCGTTAGACGACCAACAGATATTAGAGTTACAGTTACGCATAGATAACAGTTCGAGTTTATTAGATAATTACAGCGAGTTACAAAGTTTAATTGAAGAAAACGTGGACGAACTCGATCTTCCAAAACAGTTGGATGACCGAGACCGTTTCGAAGAACAGTACTATAAGACAGTAGCTTCTGCTAAACTCTTGCTGAAGAACGAGGTACCTGTAAATAATAATAATTTAGTCGGTAAAAGTAAAATGTGTGTAAAGTTACCGGACATTAAGATACCCACCTTTGACGGTTCGTACGATCGCTGGTTGGAGTTTAGAAATTCTTATTGTAGTATGATCCACGAGCGTCAGGATTTAGATTGCATACAAAAATTCCATTATTTACGTTCGTCGTTAACGAATAGTGCATCGCAAGTTATTAGTGCATTAGAGTTTACGGCCGAAAATTATTTTCACGCATGGGGGCTATTAGAGGATCGTTACAACAACCTACGGTTATTACAACATAACCATGTCAAGTCCCTATATACGATTCCATCTTTACACAAGGAATCGGCCAGTCAATTAAGGAAACTTATAGATACAGTGCGGAGAAACTTACGCGCGCTTTCCTCACTGGGGGAAGAAACGCATGCGTGGGACACGTTAATTATTTATTTAGTTGTTTCGAAGTTGGATCCCAGTACGGAACGCGAATGGGAACAGTATCAGGGTACACTTTATAATGCGAACACTAAGCCGCCATTCGTAAAGTTAGAAGATTTACTAAAGTTTCTCAAGGACAGAGCGGATATGTTAGATATTATTAAGGTAAACCACAGTAAACATTCACACGAAAACAGAGGTAGTGAACAAAACAAAAAACAATCGCATAGTTACGTCGCTACGAACGCCGGTAATAAAAATAATAGTAATAACGCTTCGAGCAAGCGAAGTCCGCGCGTGTGTGTTATGTGCAAAGGTAATCATTCACTTTATACGTGTTCAAAGTTTATTAATTTACCTGTTCAAGAGAGGATTAACTTTGTAAAAACAACAAATATTTGTGAGAATTGTTTACGTTCCGGTCATACGGTACAAGAGTGTACATTCGGGCCGTGTCGACTGTGTCATCTTGAAAAACATAATAGTTTGATTCATGTCGATAGCGGAGGCAACGTGAACGTAGTAGGTACAAATAATACGCAGTCGCAGCTGATAACCACTAACGTTTCTAATGTCTCAACTTCGTTACACTCCTCAAATAGTACCTACTCGCTTTGTAAACAAACCTATAGCGGGTTGCCTACCGTACTCCTGTCCACAGCGCTAGTGGATATTATAGATAATAATAATAAATCTCACACAGCACGGGTCCTTCTTGACAATGGAAGCCAACAGTGTTTCATTAAAAAATCTTTTTGCGATATGCTAAATGTAAATTTAAAAAAGTCCACTTGTCAAGTTACTGGGGTAGGTCATTCGATCACGAATTCTACCCACACCTGTAAAATATTATTACGATCGAAAGATAAGAGTTATCGTACTAATATTGAATGTTTAGTGTTGCCGTGTATTACAAATCAGTTACCGGCATTTTATATAAACGTAAAAAATATTATTATCCCGGATAATATTCAATTGGCTGATCCCACATTTTATTCGCCGTCGGACATTGATCTCTTGATAGGCGCGGATAAGTTTTGGGAGTTATTAATTGATGGTAAAATTAGGTTAAAAAATGGACCTTATTTACAGAACACTAAACTAGGGTGGATAATGTGTGGACCTTTGTATAATAATAATAACGGCCTGCGCATAAATCAGGTTCAGTGTAACTATTCACAAACGTTAGATACACAATTAAAACTATTTTGGGAGCTCGAAGAGATTCCCAACGCTGGGAATATCCTTAGTGCCGACGAACAAAAGTGCGAGAATATTTTCGCTCAAACGACAGCACGTACCCGTGAAGGTCGATTCTCCGTGCGTATTCCTTTTAAAGAATCGCCTACGGTTCTCGGGGAAAGTTACGGTGCGGCTAAAAAGCGTTTGTTGTCGCTTGAACGTAAATTCATTCGTTTCCCAGAATTTAGGGAAAAATATATTAAATTTATGGATGAGTACGAAAGTCTAGGTCATATGAGTCGCGTAGATACGTACGGGTCCCCACATTATTTCTTACCGCACCACGGTGTGATAAATGAAAACAGTAGTACCACTAAATTGCGTACGGTGTTCGATGCTAGCGCAGTGACAACTACAGGCAAGTCATTGAATAATATACAGTTTATCGGGCCGCCGCTTCAGAACGACATTTTTTCCATACTTTTACGCTTTAGGCAATATAAATACGTAGCATGTGCCGACGTGGAAAAAATGTATCGTCAAATTTTAGTACAGCCAGATCAACGTGACCTGCAACTAATTCTGTGGCGTAAAAATCCGTCGGACACAATAGGTATATATCGCCTTAACACCGTGACGTACGGCACGGCATCAGCGCCTTATCTGAGTATGAGGTGTCTGAATCAACTGGCGCGTGAATGTGAGGATGACCAGGTAGCTACCGTGATAAGAGAAGATTTCTTCGTCGATGACGTATTGATGGGTCATAATGACTTAAATAGTTTATTTAATATGTGTGATAAGGTCACCAACACCTTAAAATCGGCGTGTTTTCCATTACGTAAATGGATATTTAATTTAGATATTACTGCCCATGACATATCAAAAAGATTGGCATTAGGAGATCAGTGTCAAAATAAAACTTTAGGTATGGGATGGTTTAATAAAAATGATGAATTACATTTCACATCGCGAGTAAATAATGATACGAGTAATAGTACAAACCCATTAACTAAACGTGGCATGCTGTCAGCGATTGCGCAGGTGTACGACCCATTAGGTATGTTAACACCGGTAATAATTAACGCAAAAATAATTCTGCAAAAGTTATGGTTATGTAAAATAAATTGGGACGATCCGGTTCCTAATGATGTCGTGTTATCTTGGGATACCTTTCTTAGTACACTACAATGTTTACATACATTACGCATTCCACGTTGTGTAATGAGTTTGCACTCACGATATATAGAATTACATATTTTTAGCGACGCTTCTCAGTGTGCATACGGCGCATGCGCGTACGTGCGTACATACTCAGATAACTCAGCTGTTGCTTGTAAGTTACTTTGTGCCAAAAGTAAGGTCGCGCCTTTAAAACCGACTAGTATACCTCGACTGGAATTGTGCGGGGCGTTGATCGGCGCACGTTTATACAAAAAAATAATTAGTTCGTTACGGTTGACATTTTATAAAACTTTCTTTTGGACAGATTCAACCATCGTCCTCGGGTGGCTTCGAATGTCCCCGCACTCGTTGAAAACCTTTGTTCAGAACAGAGTAGTGGAAATAAATGAGCTTACGAGTAATGCTATTTGGTCGCATGTAGGTACTAAAAATAATCCAGCGGACTTAGTCTCACGCGGCGTCAGCTCGGACACACTCAGTGAATGTAGTCTGTGGTGGAACGGTCCACCATTCTTGCAGTGTCATGAGTTGATGGAATCGCAACAGAGCACCAACTCGCTTACTGACTACGCCAGTGACCTACCGGAGTTAAAACCTCACACTACAACAATGGTTTGTGACGTCACACGAAATATAGTTATTAATTTCGATCGGTTTTCTTCGTATAATCGCATAAGGCGTACAAGTGCATATGTATTACGTTACATTCACAACTCACGCACACATCGGGACGATCGCATTATTGGGCCTTTATCAGTGAATGAGTTGCGCGCGTCAACGCAAATGTTAACGCGACTCGTACAACGGGAATCTTTTCCCACCGAATACACTAAGTTGAAGGGTAGCTTGCCGTTACAAACTACTAGTGCGATTGCTAACCTTAATATATTTTTAGATAATTATGATATAATAAGAGTAGGCGGACGCTTAATTAACTCGCCTAACTTTGAATACGATAAAAAGCACCCTAGTTTATTGTGCTGTAAACACCGTTTTACATTATTATTGTTTCAGCATTTCCATAATAAGCTTCTCCATGCTGGCCCCCAACTGCTACTTGCTACTGTGCGTGAGAGTTGGTGGCCATTAGGGGGAAGAAATCTGGCCAGAAAGGTGGTTCATCATTGCGTCCGCTGCACGCGACTTAAGGGAAAGACTGTTTCTCCAATCATGGGCAACTTGCCTGCGGAGCGTTTGGAACCGGGTTTTCCTTTTATTCGCTGCGGGGTCGACTATGCTGGTCCCATATCTGTACTGAACCGCAAAGGTAGGGGGGCTAAACTTGAAAAGGGGTACATATGCCTATTTATTTGTTTTATAACGCGAGCTATACACCTTGAATTGGTCAGTACACTTTCTTCGCAAGAGTACCTATTAGCACTTAAAAGGTTTATATCCCGTCGTGGAAAGCCAGCACAAATTTTCTCGGATAACGGGACAACCTTTGTTGGAGCTATGAAGGAAGTTAAATTAATGTTTAATGAGCATTCACATCAAATTATTGATAATCTTAGTAATGATAATATCGAGTTTAAATTTATACCACCTTACGCTCCTCATTTTGGGGGATTGTGGGAGGCAGGAGTAAAATCCTGTAAACACCACCTGAGGCGTGTCATGGGTACCGCTAATCTAACGTACGAGGAGTTCAGCACGGTGTTGACACAGATCGAAGCCGTCCTGAATTCCCGTCCAATGTTTCCTATGTCGTCAGATCCACACGACCTTCTTCCGCTTAGCCCAGCCCACTTCCTGATCGGCCGGCCACTCCTCTCACCAGCCTGCAAGGACTTGACGGAGGAGCCAATCAATCGCCTGACGCGATTCCAGAGGATTGAACAGTTGAGGCAGCAGTTTTGGAAGCGGTGGTCAACCGACTACATTTCGGAGCTTCAGACGAGGACCAAGTGGAAGACCCACAACCAAGATTTAGCTTTGAATACCCTTGCTGTCATTAAAGAGGACCACTTACCCCCTCTGAAATGGCGTATGGGCAGAATTGTCAAGGTGTTCACAGGAACCGATGGTGTGAGCCGTGTAGCTGAACTACAAACAACGACAGGCTCTGTGCAGCGAGCTTTCTCCAAAATCTGTCCACTTCCGGTGCCATCGACGACGAGTGGTGGCCAGGACAACAGAGAAGTCAGCGCCTCCAGCGGCGCAGCTATTTAGTTTTGAAACCAGAGGATTCCAAGGCGGCCGGCATGTTGGATACCTGTAGCGCCATCTACCAAACCTGCGTGTGCAACTCTCGGCTGGCATGTCCGATACCTGTAGCGCCATCTACCCAAACTGCGTGTGCAACTCTCGAGCGAGATCGGTCGCCAATATGCGCGCGCAATTCGTTCGCGAATGAATTCTTCGAAAAACATTATTGTCGGTTCGGTCGCGGACTCCATTGTAAATTATGTTCTAAGAGAGTAAAGAGCTTATTGTTAATTATGGAAGAATTTTTTTTCATTAAGCCCAAGTAGTTGCCCAAACAAGGGTTATAACGAATATGGTTTATACTGGTGTATCGAAAGAGTCCATACGGTGGTTGGTCAGTGCCTTATCTAAATAAATACAGAAAATCTGTCCCACAACTTTCCTCTAAGTTAAATTGTCCTGAAAAAAATACAGTTTTATTTGGAGCTCTCTAAAGAGGTGTGTTCCAAAAATTTTACTCTTTGCCGCGGCGATGATTGTACAACTAACCATCTACTTAATTTATTTGTGTCACCGCCCTTAAATAAAATTCTAAAGCGCAATGATTAGCAGATTTTTGCTAAATATTGGCATGACAGGCCCACCGCGCTAACATAAAGGAGCCACCGACATAATTTGTGTCGTCCACGTTAACTAGCGTATATTTATCGGAACACAAGGCTCGTTTATCTTTCGATGTTATTCGTAAGCTCCAGAACATTTTCTGCATGATATACTGCGAGAGCGCTGAAACTTGATGCATTTCATTAATCATAACTTCAAATTGTTGCAACGTTAGCTTGCAAGTTTGCGTTTACTTTACAAATCCTTTATTTATGGCGTTATTAAGCGATGACGCGGCGTTCTTTCTTCAACCTCATTTGGTGGTGGCACTGTGATTCGAGTTGTGGTAAAATTATGCTTTATTTGTTTATAAGGCCTTGTACCTTATAACCGTATGTTCAAATAGATGTGTCAATCGAACACCAGCTTACCATGTATCCCGTGTACTGCCCAGCGTTGATGCCTACAGCGAGGGTAAGCATGGCTACTGCAAATACCATGTTACCTTCAGGTGCGTACGACAACCCGATCAGTGCTATCGCCGGACCCCACAAACCTACAAATTAAATTTATGTTATCGTTTGTTGTTGAACTATATTGTAAAGTTTTATAAATAGAAAAAAATCTCAGCAATTTCGTGACGTAAAAATATTAAACCAATAATGAAACTCAGTGCGTATGTGTTCGAATGATGTAAATACTTTGTGGCAGTAACTTTGACCACTTTGCCAAAACTGACGGAAACTTTTAGCGAAAACATAATATTAAACCGAGAAAAGGAACAATAAAAGTTTCAGTAAGACCTTACCTATAGAATTAAATAGTTTCCTAGTGTTTGAAACGCTTAACCAGCTGTTTTTGATAATGACATCTGTCATGAAACCCATGACGAAACTGAGTAAATACATGGAAAGGTATGGCAGGGAAGAGAGGACGCCATTCTGAAACACAACAAAATACATAGTTATACGCTTTTGTAAGTCATTGTTTTATTAAAGTTAACCTTAAATTTGCGAACTTACATTTTTGAGATCAACATTAAGCACTTTGGCCATGTAAGTTGGCATTTCAGTCATAAGGGTGAAGAAGCCCCAGTTTTGTCCACAATGAGCCACTATCACTGACCAGAAGGGGAGCGACGTCAGTATCTTCTTCCATGGCGTAGGGTATCTCTGAAAGAAGCTAATTCATTAAAAATATATACATCAGTGTTTTGTTTTAAGGACACTGTAGTAAGGAAGTGTGTTTACATTATTTGTTATTGTTTCTTTGCATTATTTTTTAGTTTATTTACCTTCTGTTCCCCTACACGTCCCAACGAAGTCTGGATATACAAAACTTCCTCCTCTTTGATAAACCTCGATGACTCTGGAGAGTCGGCGCCAAAGATCAAGTAAAGGATCACCCAGAGAGTACCGAGGGTTCCGTTGGCGTAGAATATCGCCTGCCAGCCCCACGACGTGGCGAGGAACCCTGACGCTAGTAACTGCAGAGCTATCCCCAGCTGCCCACCTAGAATAATAATAAAATAGAATTTATTTCCATTTAATTACTGACATCGTAATTGATTGTGTTTCAATTTATTGTATTTTGTGCTCAATCGCTATTATTTTTGTGACAATTAAGTTGACTGCAAATTGAGAAGGTAATTGAATGAAAAGGTGAATAATTAACGGAGCTGTTAGTGGCGTTTAAATTGTAATTTAACTTTGCTCCATCAGATATGTTAATTCTTTGGTTTCCAATTATTGAACCAAAATAAATGTGCTTCAGTTGGTAAACGGTGACACCATAATTACTTAATATTATAATATCGCTGACCTACAGTTATGTGCAAAGTTACATGAAAAATTACAATAAAACACCCTATTCGGCAATCTTTTCAATAAATATTCTTACTGGGGAAACCAGAGTTTGAACCAACATTCATTCATTTTATTTTTGTGCAAAAAATGTACAGCATAAAAATCCGAGAACATTTTTTCGAGCTCGCAAACAATTTTTTCCTGAAACTAAAAACAGAGCCTCTAATCAAAGCAGGCGGTATCTGGCAGCGTGTAGCTGTGAAATACTTGTGAATAAACCTCATTTATATGAAACGGAGCACTTTGAGTCAGAACCGTCCAATTACGTGAGCTTCCGGCCGCGAGCGAGGCTTAATGCCTTCTGTTGTTCAGCTCTCCACTTGTACTGAATAATCTAAGCGGGCGATGCAGCCGCGGCGCCGGCCTCGTGGACTCACTGTATTGTTACTGGCTGCAGCTCCAGTATGCATGTGATAATTGTACCAGCTGCAGCTGTTACATTGTCCCATCCTAACGCCCTCCACGGACGTGATCTTAACTTTTATGAAACTAAAATCGTAAATTGTTTAAACTCGGTAAGTTTGCTCAAAGAGTATGCTCTGGAGAGAAAACTTGCTATAATCCGGACTAGTAAGTGCAATGATTCTTATTATAGAGCTAGCTCTTGCTGGGTATAAGCTAGGTTCTGCGGTATTCATAAAGTCAAAATCGTTTTTAAATGAAATTAGATATTGTATTTCATGTATGTGAATTTAATGGGTGATAACGAAAAAACATTATCTTTTGTGCTTATCGATTTTAGAGCTATTCTCTATATTTTGTCAGTCAGTAGACTTTCTAAAACTAAGATTACTTACAGTAACATAGAGGGTGTTAAATAGGTTTCTGTATAATGTTATATTTAGCAGTGACGGTCTACCAACCAGCGTATACGATGGTGGTGAGGATCCCTTTCTCCTGCAGTGGCATCCACTGGCTGACGAGGTGGTGCGTGCTGGGATAGATGAAGGCCTGCGTCAGCCCTTGCAGCACTCTACACGTGCACACCAAGCGCCATCCTCCCTAGGTATAAGTTATAAGAACAAAACTTTAACATACGAATTAAAATAATTATAAGAAAAAAAACATTGAAGGAAATCTTAGGCTAAAATCTTAACCTTTGTGTTTTTTAATAGAATCGATTAGACCTTCGGTAACACGCAGAACGTGAAAGATATTATTTACTTATTTCTTTAGATAGGTACTTACCCAGGCGGCTCCTAAAGGCAGCATCAGCGAGAGTATGGAGTTAACGAAGACAGCGATGGTGAAGAGCACCTTGCCTCCGAACCTTCTCGCGAGCTCACCAGCCGGCACCTGCAGCACTACGTAGCCCCAGAAGAATGAGGACAGGATCACTGCCTGCACGCTGTGAGACCAAGGGAAGTACTGGAACAGGACATGAGTTCACGTTAAATAATATCATTTACTTAGTTTTATTTATCGTTGTACGACCTGCTATAACCAACCTTTTTATTTATAATACACACATGTTTTTTACTGTTACAGAGTGGGTTGTGTTGAATCTCTGTGGTATACTTTAACTTTATTGTCCCATGAAAAAAAGAGATTTAATATGTCGTTGGGTTCAGTTCCTAAATTAAAAATAGACACAACTTTGATATATAAACAGGCAGCTAAAAATAATATGTTGATATTTATTTATTTATTAATTTAATTTTTATGCAACAAAACATTACATAGGCGGACTTAATGCCGTAGGCATTCTCACCAGTCAACCTTAGGGTGATACAGAGAGAGTATGGTAGGTGCAACAAGAAGAAAACTTTGAGACGATAAATTAAGATATATGAGCGTTTAAGGATTGAAACTCGATCTGTATTTAGTTATTATCCACCAGTTTATGGGTAAAATATGATTAAAGTTAAGGTACATATTCATACGTTTAAACCAAATAAGGTGACACCTCAATAATAGATTCCTTGCTTCGATCTCTGACAATTCAAGTTTCTCCGAACAAGAGGTGACAACGTAAAACTTTGTTTGCAATTTACAAAAGATAATAACAAGTTCAAAGACGAGCTCGTGGAATTACAACAGCCTACTTAGTCAAGTATTTACAATATAATTTGAAGGAATTATACAAGTAATCTTGTTGATTTCGCAGATTCTGTTATGTTAATGGCTTCAGTACTTTGTTGATGATTAACGAAATGTAAGTAGCTTGACTTGTTTCCGATAATGATATCAAAAGTATTGGATGCTAAGAGTGTTTTGTATCTAATAAATACACCGCAACTCCAGCTCGGAGCAAGAGGCGGAACAGGATAGTTTTTCTATGCTAATATACTAATAATATTATAAAGAGGTAAAATTTGTAAGTTTGTATGTAGGGGGTAATCTTTGGAACCACTGGTCGGATTGCCAAAGTTCTTTCACTGATGGATAGCTACAATATTCCTGAGTGCTATAGGCTATAAAACATCACACTATGATAAAATGGAGCTGCGCAGCGGGTGAAACTAAATTACTTACTACAAACAAACTAAATTATAACTACTATGAATGAGACTGTGTTTCGATGTGTTGTTTCATAAACTAACACATGAGCCTAAAATATGTTACAGGACAGCATTGAAATTTTCGTAGACTGCAAGTCATAACTTGAAGAATACGCGAAAAAAGATACAATCTAGGCATATTATTGATCCTTCTAACACGTCGTTCTTCTAACAGAAAGTTCTAAGACGTAGTCGTATTTACATTTAAAATTAAAATTATTAAAAATATAAAGTTTTTTAACCCAAAGCGGTGCCGAAACATTATTTTCTTCTTTACAGACGAGAGTCGTGAGATAAATTAAAAGTCTCGTCCGATAGACAGCTGCTATCAATTTTATCAGTGGAAGCAAAATACCTGCCATTCATAATTTTAGGTAGGTGTGGGCATTGTCTTAATCAGCAGCTATTACTTTGGACTGTGTAGGTGCTTATATTATCTGTGACACTTAATTGGATGTTTAATTTATGCTTATTATAATAATTATGAGTTTTATTAGTTTCACCCACATGATGGATGCATGATAAAAAAGTGGCGGTACGGAGGTCCTCCTATATATGCATGTATGCATGGAGATGTCAGTTCTAAACCTGGCAAGTACCAATGTAACATTTTCCGAGATATTTGCTGTCCATTTAAAGACCAACCGACACGGTGAAGGACAACATCGTTAAGGTAACTTGGACTTAAACATAAATGTTATACGTTTTAAATTGGCAAAGCGTAGTGCAGTAGCATTATTAATTAGTATCTTAACACTATCCACGTGAGAAGAGGCCTTTGCATAGAACCGGGCATGATAGGCCGATAATATGGGGTACTGATGGATGCGTAATGTATTGTTGCATTAGATTTGATTAATTAATTAGTATGAATATATAACATGCTTCAATTTACGGAGCAAGTTCTGTAATTGTAATCTTAGCTGATATATGGATAAAATATTAACAATGATCTTTGAATTCTGGATGGTTGGAAGAAATGGGCGGAATAGTCGTCTGTTTCATGTATTATTCATCTTACAGCCAAGTTTAGAATCGCGGGTCTGCAGTCAGCGAGTAAGGGTAGCTCGCCGCCCGACCAGAACCAGACTAAGCGTACGGAGCGTAGCGTTCCGCGCGCGCCTCAAAGTGCCAATAGACCACCACAGACGGGGCCCTATAGGGCTGATGTTAAGCCGGGGTTGCGGGGTAAGCGCAATGAGGCATCGCGACCTCGGCCCAGAGCAGGAGAAGGAACAGGGGGGTTTTTAGTCAATAAGAATCCGACACTCCCTCCCGCCCGGCCCTGGGCGGGAGAAGCCATTTGATGATTGTACTCTCAAAAAAAAGGCAAGTTTTGAATGATTTTAGTAAATATCTAAGTAAATGCTATATTTCTTATAGAACACTATTATGAACCAGTTTTTATTAAACCAGTTTATCGTTACGTGATTAATTTAGATTTAATTAACTACTCGACATTGCCTGTTGCAATAAATCGATAAATTAATTTACTATTGTAGTCATTGTTTACTTAAGTTAATAACGTTAGACGTAAAATAATTGTTTTTGTGGCAATTATGACATTCGTAAAACTGTTGAACTATTTAGTTTTACTGGACCATCACAATGTAACTAGTAAATAAAATAATTTAAGGAGAATTTTAAGATTGGGAAGAAATCAATTGTATAATCACAATAATTTATACAAATATTAAAAAGAGGTATGTTTTTATGTAGGTAATCTTTAAAACCGCTCGACAGATTTCGATAATTCTTTCACTGATAGATACCTACAATGTTCTTGAATAGCTATTAAAACAACACGCTACTGTCAAAGGGAGCCGAGTAGCGGGTGACATCGCTCGGGAGTGGTTAGTGTTATATTATTTTAATTATCGTGTGATATGCCAAATAATTTCCACATATTATTTTACACACAGATCCATCGTCTGTCGCCTTATCGCCAGTACTGTCAGCCATCTAGTTTATTGTAAGGCAGCAAAGGAGTGACAATTAATATCAACAATCTCTGGTTAATTATTAACGCTTAATATAATCGCCATGTAGGTAGTGCATTTGTTAGAACAGATTACTACAGCGGTGACTTGATTTTCTAATAATAGTTTCACTTATCGTTCAATTTCTTTCTCACGTGTTGTACCGCGTGACTGAGCTGTATCGTTTACTTAGGAAGTTCACTGCATCTCCAATGTCACCGCAGTGAAGCAAAAGATCAGCTAATTTATCTCAGCAGTCGGTCTTTCACCTATTTGTCTATTTATACCTTCGTATCTATACAACCTGTCGACTATTCCGCCCATTTCTTCCGCGCATAAATCACGAACAATATTATCAGTGTTATAAATGTAATGTATTATTGTGTGTTTACAGTAATGTGGGCAAGACGTGACGTCACGCGACCCGCGGGTAAGGTCACACGTATCTAAGTGGGCGGGGTGAGGTCGTCACCAGCCAGCATGCGGCTGCGCTGACATCGTAAACTTTCCATTCAACTCCTGCTGCGTTGCGGCGAAGCTAAAAGTACTTATTCTAAATTTACATAGCCCAGGTTTAATGTACTATGGAGCAGTTTCTCATTCTGACAGTGAAATGTAGTGAGAATTAAAGATGGTGGAATGGTACTGCAACTAGGTTTATGTAACGTTAAAACTTGGGAAACTCAAGGTTCAGCACGAAAGGGTCGGCTTGATCGGTGTACCACGGCCTTACAGAAAACCGGCGTGAAACAATCACTCGTGACTCCTCCGTTGTTCATGGGCGGCGCTGTTTGCTTAGCATCAGGTAGTCTAGTACGGTAGTCGGTTTAGTACGGAGGGAATAGTTTTTCATCAATAGGCATCAACAATAACAGTGACCTTTGCCTACGACCCGTGCAACATGTACAACGATAGTACACGTGCTGAGCTAGTCGACCGATGTCACACATTGATCTGTACACTGAGATGATCGCGTGACATGATAAGTAACGCGTTTGTAATGAAACATTCCCTATTCGCGTTATTATTTTTATTGATATTTGATAAACGGTATTTGATTAATTCCATGAGAATACTATTAGTAGTTGCCTTGTTTCCATGTGCGGTTGTTGATCGTGTAGTGGCTTGTGATTTTGGCATAATTTTTTTTTATGCTATCTTATTTACTACTTTAAAAGTTTTTGGATTTTTGTTCTAGTTGTAATATTTTAGTAATCATTTTATTATTTGCCTCTATAATCTCTCGAAAACCAAACACAAAAAAATAAGTTTTTAAAATTTCTCATATTGTTCCTTTTTTGAAATATTTTTTTAAATGTTAATTTCGCCAATCTTTCTCTTCAATGAGGATGGAGGATGCGTCATTTTATCTTGATGTCAAACCACTTTCATGTTTACTCTTTTGAGTTATCTTTCTGTCAAATCCATTTATAGAATGGAGTAGAAATTTGTCATTCTGAAAGTACTGAGAGAAACTGTAGTGTTAGCCATGTCGTTCGAAATCTGAACTATGTTATATGTACATCTATTTATATATATTATAAGAGTTATTACGCTTTACTGTGCACGTGTGTGTGTCAAAGTATAGTTGTCAGATCCATGAAGCGTACATATCTGCTGCAATCAAAGCATACTTCGAGCAACAAATATGTGTCGCGCCCGATGTACAAATACATCGTAAAATTATTGTTGTTACAATATTATTATTTAACTTGTATCACTAAAGATACTAAATATATTATAAGAAGCTATTATCTTGCTTTAAAATTTTCCATGTTCGTTATTTATAACTGTCTGTGTCGTTTTATTGTTTTGCCCTATAATACAGTTTGGTTTCATGTTTATTTACGATTCTGTAGTATTATCTATTACTGGTGAAAATCACGCATGAGTAAGGTTAAGCCTTCTTGTTGCTAACGTTGTATGATAAATACTATAAGTAAGTATTTAGATAGTAATTAAATAAAGCAAAAAGTAAGGAATAATTAGGTGCTTACTTAGATACTCGTGAAGGACAAACATTTTCGCAAAGAGAATTTAAATTCTTTGTGCAAGTAAAGCCAGAACAAGACGCTAGTATGTATTAGTGTAAATGTTACTTATTTTTGATATTCATAATATTATGTTGTACTGCGATAAGTGTTTTGTTATGTTATTTTTGTTATCTTTCAAGTTTTAATTTTACGACCCAATTAATTAACTAGGCTGATAAGATAAAATAGTTTTATACTTGCAGATTTAAAGATACAAACTATTAAAGTAATATAATTTGTAATTACAGAAGATTTATGGATGAGTTACTGGCCTTTTTGGAGGTTAGGCGTTATAGGATGAGAGAATAAGGGGGGGGGGGGGGAACGGGTATTCAGTAACTTTCCTTACACTGCGAAAGGCAAAGCACCTACGTAACCTAGTCTAGCTAGACTACACCACTAAGTGTATGAAGAATATTTGTTAAAAATAATGTTTTGGTATCGTACCAATTAAATTTACAATTATATAATTTCTACTAAAGTGAGTATAATTAATAAGTTATTTAATTATAGTTGTAAGCAGATGTTACTACTTGATAAACTTAATAAATTTACTGTAATATTAATTTAGTGAAATTGTAATCTAAATCTATTTGGGCTTATATAAAATGATAGAAGGTTTATCTTCGATTTCAGAGCTCAAATATATTTTTAATCAAAATTAGTATTGTCGAAACAAAATAGTCACTATTTTATTTAAAGTCAATGGAAAAAGAACATTCCAATTACAATTTAACCATTATGCAGGTACTTTTAAATCGCCAAAATAGAATATAGCACGGTTTTGTCGGTGCAACTAGCTATAGGTTCATCATAGTATCTTGCCTCCATAAACATCCATTGCTACTTTAAAAAAATATATGTGTGCTCACCAACACATCATTTATGTATATATTTTTTACTTTGCAATCTTAGTGCAGGACACAATCTACGCCCAAACACTCAGATACTGCTTTATCCCAGAACTTATTTGTACTTATTAAATTATTATTTTTCTCATGCAATAAATATTTTATTATTTTATTAACATATTTATTTATTATTGTGTTACATGTATTGTAAAGACCAATCAACTTACAACACCTAAAACTGGGCACAGAAACGCATGCAATGAAATTTTTTGATACTTTAGTAAAATTTCATTCAATTTTATATTTTTCAGTGTATAGTTGTGTGATAACCTTTACAGTGCAGCTGATATGAATATATAAAACCAGTTTCCGAGATAACAAAGTTTGCGGCTTGTACTCGGAGATAATGGCCTCCTTACTCGTGGGTAAATAAACTTTAAAAATAAATCGAAAAGTCGTATTTCATGAATTTATGTACTGAGCTTTTCTTGAGAAAACAAGCGTTGTGTGGTATATCGTCTCTGATATTATTTTGTAGCAAAAAACGTGTTGCATACATTAATCACTATGCATTGATAAATAATTTATTTAAATGTATTGTTTAATACTAGTTTTGTAGTACTTATTGAACTTAACTGTGAGTACTTTATTGAAATCAATTTAAACTTAGTATTTGGGATAGATTTATTAGTTAAGTTTGATAATTCATAACTGTGTAGCGACATCTATCGCACAACAATAACAACAGCACCAATCACGTGCAAGATCCTACATCGCGGTATAAGAGTTCTCAACGCAATTAGAACCGATACAAAATCCCGACAATAACCGTCGGGCAGTAGCCCACCAGACATAACACCCGTCTGGTCGGAGGATCCTCCCTTTTCAATGGAGGATGAGGAACTTTCCACCCTCTTCCCTCATACCTCTAAAACTGTATAATAATGTATTAAAAAGGGTTTAAAAATATAAACAATACTAACATGTTAGTCCCAACCTGGAACAAATATCGCCATACCATGATGAAAGTATCACAATGTCCTACGCGGTAGCCACTTGCTACGAATTTCGTAGCGGTCGTCACCGATTGTGCTACGTAGCAAGCGCTCTACTACATCCGTCAGTCAAATTACTATAGTCGTATTTCAATTGATGGTTTGTTATTTAGTAGTACGATTTGAGAAAGATGGAAAATTTTACTTCAAACTAGACAGTAATTCAATTTGTACGACTTACAAATTCCTTCCTCTCGTCCGTCATGTCGACGATGGCCATGCTCATGTTGACTCTCATCGTGAACGCAAACAGCATCCCCAGGAACAGTAGCACCGTCTGCACGTGCCGGATGCCCAAGCCTTCTGTAAATGATTACAGAAAATTTCATCATAACGGGATGTTTATCCAAACGTATGTCCTAGTCAGCAAGAGTTAACGTTTGGCTTAAATTGCTTGCCAATCAAAATGTTATCAACTAAGGAAATCAATTTCGGGTTACACATTTTCACCGATTAGAATAAATTGTATAAACTTCTACAAAATATAGAAGTAGATCCTTATGTGGGGTAATTTTTATTGTTTATTAAGTAATTTAGAACTCAATAGTAATAAAATATTCTGTTCAAAAGATAACAACAAAGCTATATATTTACTCTCTAACACACACCCACATAAACACTGTTTGTGTGTATGTGGGTGTACGAGTTCATGTCACAGTGTTTTCAAAATATTCTGAGACTAGTTAATTTTTAAAATTGTTATAAAAAAAATGGATTTTTTCTGTAAAACTACAGCACTAAACCAAGTTACCATTCAATAAAAAAAAGAATTATTGTCATTTTAAATCTGACTACTCTGAGAGAAAATTGCGAACAATCTTTGGATCAGTTGCTTACATATGTACAGTTCAGACCAATTTAAAAATAATATGGGCGAACTGTATAAGTTTATTCTGTAGTGGTGGACAATTCAGAGATGAATGTTGCTGAAGACATAACAAATCCTTCCAAGTTCCTCATTCGTTAAGACTAACTTAGGCAGTAAGCAATCGAGTTATAAAATATACTTCACATGATCGGCTTAAACGTGCCCACTGCTGAGCAAAGGCCCCTCAAGGCCTTTTCTCACGCGAGGAAGTTTTGAGTTTAATGGTTAAACACCAAGAATGCTGAAGGCGGATTGGCGATTTCTAACTCAGAGACATTATATGTTAACAGCTTTCGTCACGGTGTTTTCCTTTACCGTATGCCTGATGTTTCTAAATAATCAGATAAACTACATATAACTCCGCAAAAGTCACATTTGTATTTGCAGAAGTTTAGCACCTTCATGCATGAGAGGCGGGGGCGCCTTAACCTTTGAGCCACCACAACACAAAATATATACCATAATATCGTAATTACTACTTTTCAGAAACATCAATTTTTAATCAAAATTTGTATCCCAAATGTCAACATAACTAATGTTTTATCGAAAATAATGATATATTTCATGTGAATTAACTAGAAAAAGTTCTATCAGTTTCAAGTTGCAAAGGGACTCTTATTCATGAGCAGCGACGCGACGCTCGCTGGTAGAGCTCTATTTTTAATAAATTTTGTATATCTCATGATAGTTAATACATAAATATCAATTAAATGATTGAAAATCGAAATAATCGATGGAATTTTAATGATATTGAAGTAATGGTTCACTTTTCAAAACGTTTTCCCCTGTGTCGTGGGTGCGTTTATAAATATACATTCACAAACACATCACACACTGACCCGGTACAACAATTTATGGTCACACAAATAATGTTCCGTGCGGGAATCGAACCCGCGACACGTTGCGGCAGTCAGTTACCCAGCCACTGCGCAAACCGTGCAGTCGTTCGTCGTAAGTGATAGGCGCCTGCCAAGGACATCTGCATCACTTGAGTAGTCGGGCACGCTATTATAGCAGCGGTAAGACCACTCTTTGAGGAGTGGCTTGAAAGACGCCATGGCGTCCTCATATTCCGCCTGACGCAGGTGCTTACCGGGCACGGCAGCTTCGGTTAGTTCCTGTTTCGGATCCAGCGGGAGGAAACGTCCGAGTGTTGTCATTGCGAGGACCACCCAGAGGATACGGTGGCGGTATGCCCTGCCTGGGCTGAGTACCGCTGTGTCCTTAGGGAAGTGATCGGCGGCGGTGACCTCTCGCGCCCGGCCTTAGTCGAGGCCATAGTGCGGAGTGAGAGGAACTGGGACGCCGTCTCCTCCTTCTGTAAAGCATTTATGCTCGCAAAGAGGGAGGCGGCCCGCGTGAGAGAGCAATCCTCCTCCTCACGCCTCAGTCGCCGCAATAGGCGACACAACAGGCGTCGGGGATCAAGGGACGATCTCAGGCCACCGCCAAGCGCGGGTCTGCGGTCGGCGAATAAGGGTAGCTCGCCTCGATCCTCGTTCCGCGCGCGCCTCAAAGTGCCAATAGACCACTACAGACGGGGCCCTAAAGGGCTGACGTTCAACCGGGGTTGCGGGGTAGGCGCAATGAGGCACCGCGACATCTGCCCAGAGCAGGAGAAGGAACAGGGGGGTTTTTAGTCAGTAAGAGTCTGACACTCCCTCCTGCCCGGAGAAGTCATTTGATGATTTTCCCATTACAAAAAAAAAATCACCTGATGAGTCACAGACGTTCGATTGCCGGCCTTTGAAAAGGAGTATGCACCTACGAGTATGAATTACTGATTTTAAAATTATATATTTTTTTCCATTACTTACTGGGCCTAACAGCTTCCTTTTCGTCGACTACGCCCATTTTTTTATTAGTACTGGTACCGTTTTGTCACTAAACTACCGAGAGAAGCACTACTGACCACTACCGAGCACGGCCGCACATACGCTGCGGACGGCGCCTAGTGCCAAGATGACACTAATCGCGAACACTTACACATTACACGGATTTATAAAATCTATAGAGTCGATATTGCACTAATATTTCTTTTGGATAAATCTGAAAGTTGTTAATTTTGTTTTTTTTTTAAATAATCATATTATTATTGTGTGTTTTACAAAAAATACGTTTATAGATATAGATGACCAAGTAACGAACTACATTAATTACACACCACACCATTAGCCTCACTGAGTCAGTAATACCTCGTTACATAATGTTAGGTTCGTAGTTAATTACAGAAACAATTTACATTATTTAATATTACATTGTTTCCTAGAACATCAACAGTATTTATGTGAGTGGTATATTTGACATTTTATGATTGCCTTATGCAGTGTGGTTCATGATATATTAGCGAATGTTCATAAATTTATTATAATGCGCAAAAAAATCTGAGCATTGATTTAGTTCATGATAGGTGTCTCTCAGTTCTAGACCATTTTTAAATTATATTCAAAATTTCATCTGACATTGCTTTACCACATACATACAATAGTTTTAACAAACTAAAATTATACATTTTATTTTACGTATTTTGGGAATGTAAATAAATTTGATAATTAATTTAATATTTAAATTTCATTTTAATTAACACTGAAGTTACCACAATGACATTCTTTAGATTTCTCTGTCATAAAATTTGTTCGTTTATATTATTTTGATAACTTGTTCGTGTATCAAAGAAAGGTTATCGCTTAAGGTCGCGAGAATTTATATAAACAAATTGGCATTTAGAAGTGATTTAATGAACTCAAACCAAAGTACTATGAGCCTTACTGCTTTTTATTAAGAGTTAGGCCGACAGCATGAAGAAAACGATGAATTTTTCGAAATATAGTTTGAACTTTGTCATTGACTTTGGCAAGTGATACTATTTTTGACACTGGTATCTGCTTCGTATTGTTATCAAAGTCTGCAGTTCTCGTCGGAAAATAAGACGTATGTACAAACGTCATGTCAGCCAAATGTTGTGTATAACATATTATTTATTTCCAATTCAAATTGTTTACAAAACAATATTTATTTATTTATTTATCATAAATTATATAGGTGACAGTTTTCCAAAGCACATTTTCCTTAATAGAATCATTTTTGTAAGAGTATACACAAACAGTTGCATTATCTTTGTCTCAGTATATTTATTTAACTTGCTTCCTCGAACAAGTTCATAGAGCAGAAAATGTATTACAAACTTTTCCTCGTTTCCTTTTTATAGTAAATTGTGGTAATGTAACGCAGACGTCAAGTTTTGAAGTCGGTTTAAAGTTTCCAAAGTGCCTTTGTATTTTAAAGTTTATTTATAAAAAATATTATTATTAAGCATGAATTTAAAAGTATTTATTTATATTTAGCTGCTGATTATTTGGGGTTTTTGTCACCAATCAACTTCTCTTACCCAGGTATGAAGAGTGGGCGTGTCAAACGCTTACTAATAAAAACCACCTCGTTTCTTCTCCTACTTCAGGTGGAGTCCACGATGACATATTGCGCTAGCCCCACTGCGTTACCCCAGGACCTATTTGGTAAGCCTTTAATTTTGGCTATAGCAACATGAAATATTTATATTCATATGCATACATTTATTTACATAACAAGGTGTTACAGGATTGGCTAGAATTAGGACCACAATAACGGAACCTGCAGGGCACAGCAATTCGCCATTTATCAAGCGAAATAAATTCTATTTCTACCTGTTTTGAAGAGTAAATTATAGGAGATTTTACTTGTTAAAACTAGTTAACAAAACGGTTAGAACACTTCTCAACATTTATAATGAAGTCAAATATCAGAGACTCGTATCTACAGTAGGTGCGCGCTACTACTCAAATTAATTTGAATTTAGTAGCGAGGAGCGCGGTGCGGGTGTAGCTACGCTTTGTGGCAGCTATGTGGAGCACCGAGCACTGGCTGTACATGTCTGAACTACGCGGAATGCTGACTATGTACATACTTACACCGTCCATTATCAAATCCTTATCTAAAAGGAATGCATAGACTGAAACAAATGAACATATTTAAATAATCCTAAATCGACGTTCATAAATGTGTTACCTAATTGATTTGAATTTACTTCTGACGTATTTTTCAATCCAGACATTGTTTTAATAAAACCGTTGTATTATTGTTATTGCTGTTGTTAATATACCAATTTAGACTGAAAATTCTACTGGTACAATGTCACAGTTACAGCCCCAACGATATAATTATTTCGTCCCGCTGACCACAGCCTGCTACAGACAGTGTAGCGCCGTTACGTAAATATTGGGGAATGTGTCACAAACTGCGGTATACAAAGAAATATATTGATTCGGAAATTTTGTTTGCTATCTAAAATCAAGGGAGGTTCCTATGTAGTGGAAATACATTGAAGTATAAGCTTCAATTGATGATATTAAAAATCTATTCAAGTAGTTTGTCAGTTCTACAAAAATATTAATATTTTTTTAAGGAGTATTAAAGTTACGTCACCTCTCACTTTCAATTTACTAAATCTCAATCATCATCATCATCACCATCATCACCATCAGCATCATTAGCCTATAAGTGCCTACTGCTGAGCAAAGGCCTCTTCTCAAACGTAGAAGGTCAAAGCATTAATCACCACGCTTGTACAATGCGGGTTGGCGATTTCAAACTTATAATTAGGAATTGTAAGTCCAGGTTTCCTCACGATGTTTACCTTCACCGTATGTCAGTGTATCTAAATAATCATAGAAAGAACTCGGAAAAAGTCACATTGGTACTTGCCAGTTCTTGAACCTACACCCTCATGCATGAGAAGCAGGCTCCTTAACCTTCGGGCCACCACGACGAAATCACAATGGTTCCTAATGAAAACAAAAAAAAAATATGTTTTGAAAGAATCACCAATAATAATATTATCATTCCCATACTGAAACAGTTTAGTTTATCTTTTTATTTTATTGAAACAAACCGATCAATTACAAGACTATGCTTAGTTAGCAACAGATTAGCGGCTGTGTCACCTGCAGTCTGCAAACATTTCGTTACAACAAGCCACCGGGGCACCGCCCCACGCCCGGCCCATTCAGAGGAACAGGATCGGGTGCAGTGCCGGTGCACGCGGTACTAATGCACTGTGAATTAATGTTACATTTATTTCAATATGTTGTGTGGGATTCTAAAGAACAGCGTATAATTTTGTACCACTTTAAAATGTCAAATAAGTACCAGCTATGTACGTGTATGTTAAGCTGCACGTCGATTCTATAAAATTTGCTAGATTTTAAATCTTATTCGAGTGTGAAGTGAGCGTTGAAGAGACGGGGAAATACTATTATAGAATGCCACTTTTAACGTCATCTCATACAACAACTCGCAAGTGTAGCGCTGGTGTACTACTACTCACAGCGGATTCAGATTCGAAGTATAGAATGAAGTCTTATACAGAATCACACTGCATATATTGTAACTATAACTCACGAAACGACTTGTATATCCACAAATAAAGAACATTATCCGTTACCGAACTAATTCATTTTCATAGCCTAGAATATCAGGCATAGCACTGTTACTGACAATTTCGGAAATCATAACGTCCGACCACATTTTACGTTCGATCGTAATTGAGCGAGGCGCGCTGGCTACAACAGCGACTACACCAGAAAGCATTACGTGAAATGAGGAAGCTTTATACAAAGACGTTCCAATGAGAGCGTCCGCGGGGACCCTCAATCAAACAATGTTTCATTACGTCTCCATCCAATCCCAGCACCGCCAGCACCGCGCCACCGACACTCACTTCCTCATCTCACTCGGGTACTCTTTTTACACCTCCCTATTGTTTTATGAACTTCGATTTATAGTATTCATCGAGTGTTCTGTTCTGATAAGTCAAATAGATTAACTGACACTTAGATCACTCACAGATTGTGTCTGTAATAAATTTAAGATTTTATGTTCAAAACTATATACATTATGAAAATGTATATAGTTTTAAGTAAATGCATAAAAGCAAGCATACTTAAATGAATTAATGTATTGTGTCGTAATTTAATTAAAAAATTAAAAAGGTAATTTTCCCGAAAATGAAGCAGCGCTGAGCGGAGGACGCGCCGTGTTAAAAATGCTCTTAATATAAATAAAGTGTAGGTGTACCCAATGGGGCAGTTTAACTGTCTTAATTTGCGTTATTTTACCTTTTTATTGTGGCCATAAAGTAGATCCTTTGTACCACAGACAACGACCTGCGTATAATGTTATAGCAATTACGGAGAGACCAGGTATCAGCGGTGACGGTAAACAACAAAAGGAAGAAAATGTTACATCACAAATGTCGTATTGTCTGCTCTTTATGTGAATACCTCATAAACCATTGTGGAGTATTAATAATAAACCAACCAATTGATAATAATCCTTAATCGAATATCAGTAAGGTACAAAATAGTCTGTATAATGAGTCTGATAAAAAAAAGGTTTGCAAATAGTGTCTGCAGAGTACATTCAGTGTGCGTGTGTGCCCTGATTTAGTTCACCTGTCGTTTCATACGTGATGTACAGCCGCTTCATAGAGAAACTTATGCTGAACGTATCGTGATATAGACTTGCTTTACAAGATGACGGAAACTTAGATGTGTGCTGAGGTATAATATATTCAGAATTTAAAGCAAATGCTTGCGAAACTAGTGGCGGTGGCTTAACTAACTAACTCACATACTTATATGGTATCTACAAATTGTCCAACATATTCACTAAGAATATAATCTTTTCCTTCGTAATATTTGTCCTGCATGCTTTCCATTTGAACTTCATCTGAAACTAAGTTACCTGGCCATCATACGATGGTAATATTGTTGGCGAGTTTCTGAAGTTCTATTGCCGTGTTCCATTATAGTGAGAGTTCAACAAGAAGCGACGTACTATCGGTTAATTTAATAACTTTTCCCAAAACTAACAAACCTTTTTTAATTTACACATTTTCCTGCAGTCGT